AAATTAATTTATATATTCAAACCCTACCTTCGTTCAAATTCTAATTCATTTTCTCTTTCGTCGTTTCCATTCTCTTCATTCTTCCTTTCCCGTCTCTCTCTACCCTCTTCCACACATATGAGCAGTCGTCGTCCTCGGACCAGGGGCGGATCCACAGTGGGTCCTGGTGGGTCACGTGACCCACCAACTTCCAAAAATTGAATTATTATTATTTTTGGCCTTTAGCCGTCTTTGCCCTTTGCAGTAGAACACAGAAGAAGGCTCACAGTGTCAGTGTCCATATTGAAAAATCAAAACCCATCCCTAGTTCCCTTCCCTTGGAAAATCAAGAGCCATTCTATTCAATTTTGGCTTTCTTCTTCCTCATTATCATCATCTTCTTCTTCTTTCTAATATTGATGTTGATTAACATTATTCCACCGATATATCCTACTATAAATGTGTTTAGTTGTGTGTATTGTGTATCTATCACGTGCAAAGAAAGTTAGAGAAACTGAGAGTGGAAAGAGAGGGTGAAGCCGTGAAGGAAGAAGGATGAAAGAGAGAGAGAGTGTGTGTGTGTGTGTGTGAGTGGTGAGTGGTGTGGAGAGACTAGAAAGTGACTTATGCCACATTGTGTTTGGAATGAGAAATTTTCATTTGGTCTTTGGGTGTATAAAATATTAGATAGTGGTTCATTTCATTTCATAAAATTTTATTTTTCATTTCTAAATTCAACAATGATGATCTAGAGTAATCAGATGGAAATGTTTTGGTTATCCATATATATTGGTGACATTTTTTTAGACATTTTGTTTTTGTTTTTCCAGCATCCTATTAAACCATTCTATACCATGTTTGCATATCAAATGTTTTTTTTTTTTTTTTTTTTTACAACTTTTTTGCAATTTTGATTGTGTTAGGGATGGATTGATTGGACTACGAACCAGACTAATACGTAAATATCAAATTTTTTTTTTTTTTTTTTTTTTACAACTTTTTTGCAATTTTGATTGTGTTAGGGATGGATTGATTGGACTACGAACCAGACTAATACGTAACAAACCGAGATAACATGTAACAAAAAAATAAAATAAAATAAATTTACACACACACATATTTACTTTAAAAAAAAAATTTGCCCTAAAAACCATTAAGTGAGCTGAGGAAGGGACTGGGCTACAACCCAGCCCCCTATATCTGCCCTTGGATTGTGCCCCACTAATTCGAAATTTCTGCATCCGTCACTGCCTTGGACGGAGAGTGTCGTCATCGAAGACTACCCTATTCCCTGTGCAGCGACGCATCTTTGGGTCCGAATTCAACTCTTTTAAAAACACTAATCTCCCATTTAATGTCCTCCTCCAACGAGTAGGTGTGGTGATTAGTGGCTTACGGTGGTGTGGTGATCTATGGTGGCGGTAGTGCAGTGGTGATTTGTGTGTAATATGGTGTGTGCAGTGATGTTAATGAAGTTGTTGGATGCGGTGGGTGGAGATGGGGTACAATGGCGATGGTTTTAGGTTGATTTCTTCCTCCATGCTTACGTAGTTTTAAGGAAGTTCGTTGATGGTGATGTTTGCGGTAATAGTGCAGATGGGTGGAGAGTAACGTGCAGTGATAATAGTTTTTAAGTTTCGGGTTGGTTTTTTCCTTCAATATGCTTAATCGAAGTTTTGGGGGGTGTGCAATGTGGTACAGTGCGATGTTGGGTTGCAGTGGTGGTAGTACAGGTGGTGATGACGGTGCTACAGATGGTTGGTAAAGTTAGTGGTAGATCTAGTGATGGCGGTAGGGTGTTGGTTTTCATTTTTGTTTTGGTTGTTGGAGTGATGGTGGTGATTTCCATATTTTGATGTTATTAGGGGTTTGGGGTGATTTTTGTTGGTCGTGTGGGCGGAGGTGCTGGCGATGGTTGTGGATCTGGCGGTGGCAGTGAGGGTGGCAATGATGATCGACGATGGAGCTAGTAGTGATAATGGTGGTGGATGTGGACATGACCATAGTGTGGTAGTTGTGGGTGGGGTGCGTGTGACCAATTATTTGGTTGATTGCGACTAGTTAATTGGTTCAAATGTACCAATAAATAATACGTGACAAGTTATTTGCGTTTGTGACTAATAAATTGGATATTTTGTAATCAATAAATAATATGTAATTGTTAACTTTGAGTGGTGACTTATAAAATTTGTAATTTGTAATCGATAAATAAATTGTGAAACTTTTTGTATTGATTATCGATGAATAAATTGTGACCTGCAAAATTTTTATTTGTGATTGTTAAATAATTTGTGACATATTAAATTTCTTATTCGTGATCGAGAAATAAGTTGTGATCTATTAATTCGATAATATGTAATTAAATAGTATAGAATCGTAACCTTAATATATTTAATTAATAAAATATTTATTTAATTAATTATTTCATAAATAAAATTTAATTAATATCTAATTTTTGAAGTTTAAACCTTTTTTCTTAGTTTTGAAATGTGCCATAACCTAAGTCCCAAATGTATATATAAAATAATAACTGTTTAGAAATACTAACAAAAATTAACAAACTTTTGATTTCACAATATTTTTCTCAATTCACATCTTTTTCAAAATATGTATCTTAATTTTTTTGCTTTTTCTTTGCTGCCAAACCAAACTTAACTTCATCCCTAATTCTTTGCAATGCACATATTACATTTGACGCATTTTTTTCCCAACTTTGTACTAAGTAATTATTTAAAGTTACAATTGCTTGAAATGCCTCTTTTGAAAAAAAACATTAGGTAAAATAGTAAAATTTCACCATCATCTTGATCATAATCATCATTGGTAAGTGTATTGAGTATCTCTTAAATAATATTTTCATTAGTAAGAGATTCATCACCTTGTCATTTCCTCTAGGATAAAATATAATACAAGTTATAAAAATATAAAATACTCTATAAAATAATAAATATTCATTTATCGATAAATTAATAACTACTTTGAACTGATAATTTCTCTCGGTCCCAACATTACTATTTTACAGAGGGTTTGCCGTACTTTTTTAACAATTCCACTAGCTACTAGAATCAAATAATATTAATGTCAGATTGATTTGTGTAAAATCCTTTTTTATAAGGGAAAAAACCAAGTGTACATCATTTTTTGTACACTATTTTTCACAGTCCTCTCACAAGGGTGGGGTCGCGATTATTTATTTTATTTTAATTGTGGACTCCACTCCTGTGTGTGAGAGGGCTGTTAACAAAGCTGTCAAAATTAATGTAATTATAGCACTTCTCTTTTACAAGAACATGCGATAAACGTATTCAAAATCTAATATTTAAGAGTAGGTCGGATATAAATTGTTCATCGATAAATGTACCAGCCACATATATGTTTGATCGATTCTATAATCTTTTGAGATTAACGAAAAATGAATAATTCACTACCAACTTCATATTTTTTTATTTGTGGTTTATTTAAAATTACAACGAATATTTATTATATTCTTAAACCTATGTAAAAGAAAAACTAATAAACTAAGGTGGCATACAGCATACTCATTTGACCATACTATTAATAATTTTTTTTGAAGACTCATCAACCGAACCTATTTAAAAATAATAGTTATAAGCGATTTTGGTTGTCAAAAAATAAAAAATAATAAAAAAATAATTGCAAACGTAATGCTTCAGTATGAATGGTGTCATTTTGTCATTTCATTGCCAAAACTTTTGACCTAATTAACTATAATTCATTCAAAAATTGAGCTGGATTTCATGTATTTGGAAATAAAAAAAATAAAATAATAATAATAATAATATGGAGATCAGATCCCATTCAATCGGATTGGAATCAGATCTACTTAATAATTACTTTATTTCGATATAAAATCATAATTAAATTTTACCAAATAAGATATTAACAAATTCTTCCAAACATCGAAAAAAGGAGGCAATGAAAATATATAACAATTTAATTAAATTTACAGTGTTGAAATTAATTAAATCATGAAAAAAAATTGTGAGATTCTGACTATAATTTATCTTAATAAATTAAACGTATAAATATTAGATACGATTATACATAAATATCACTAGAAGAAAATATTAACAATAATTATACACAATATTATATAAAAGTAGTTCTTATAAGGAAAATGAAAACCAATCAAATCGAGTATTATTTAAGATGATAAAAAAATTTAAAAAATAATTGAAAATACTCTATAAGCAATGCTATGCCCTTCCTCCCTCGATAGTACTTATCCCTTCACCTTTGAATAAAGAAGTTCTTCGGGCATCTTGATCCAAGTGAAAGAACAGCTCGAAGATTTTTAATTATTGCAGTACGACTTTTTATTTCTTGTTCGATCTTCCAATGAGTAGCATGTTTCAAGACGTTGAGTTCTCCCACCATAATGTATATCATTATCTTAAAGTATTACCATCATCTTACTTTCTATGTAAGGATGGGAATGATATCAAGAAATTTTGGAAGGCAGAATCGAGAGAGGTATAACTTCTCATTTATCATCCTATTTAATTATTATCTTTTAAAAATATATTTCTTATTTTTTGAATACGATTGAAATTGTAAATATAAAAATAAAAAATAAGGACTCGGGACGAGGTCCATGATTCTGTCCCCATCTTATTTACTATCCGTACGAGTCGAAGAAGGGGAATTTTGTGATCCCTATTTCTATGATTTATCTTCCTCTTATCTCTATAAATTGGGTTGATTCGTTTTCCATTTTGGATGCACCTAACATAATTCTAATTTTCCAGATTCACTTTCTCCAAATACCTTCGAGGCATTAAAAAAAAAAAAATGAAAAAAAAGAAAAGAGGAAGGGCAAAATAGAAACTAAGGCCTCCATCACTATGACACAATGATGACGTCATCACATGACCGGTTCATGGGTGATATTTGGGTTCCACGTCAAAGTTCTCCACGCCTCCAATTGAATAAACCCCTTTTTTTATTCTCTTCCAACTGTTCACCTTCACAAATTTTCTTTATAAATAGATAAAGACAGACACAATCCATATAATATATATAGAGGAACGTGTAAGAACTTAGAACAGAGACAGCCTTAAAGTTGAATTTGTATATGAGAGCTGTATCTACATTCTTCACAATAACCAGAATCAACACGACGAATAGGAATACAGTTTCTTGTTTTTTCAGAAAGATCATCATGTCTGCATCAGATACAAATACAAGTTTTGGATTTGAACGGCCCAGATTGGTTGCCAAGAAAATCTTGGCCAAGCCTCAGAGTGAAGGCGATGGTGCTGTTGTTAGAAGAAGCATTGGAAGGTATTAAATACACATATTTTGATGTTTTCTTGAATCTTTTTGAAATTTTGTCAATTGGGTACTGTTTCATTAAGGTTGTTTCGGTTTTATTTATACTTTATAATATGTTTTGGTTATGGAATTTGATCAAGCTCTCAGTATTTTCTTTTGTTTAGCTGTCTTTAAACTTGATATATGTGTATTAGTATAGTAGCTTACAGATTATAAATTGCAGGCCTGAGTTGAAGTCTTTGGATCCCTTTCTCATGTTGGATGAATTTGCAGGTGAATTATATGATTATCAATTATGCCATGTTTGGTAGGTAGGATTAGAGAGTATTGGACACTATTAAGAAACAAAAATAAGCCATATGAACGCAAATTGCATTCTTGATATTCTGAAATCGGTTTTATTTCTCGAATATTGATCTTGAACTGAAAAAAAAATAAAAAATGAAGCCATTTTGAAAAGAATGATAAAGTTATTTCAATACTCTGTTATGAAAATTGTATGACTTGATAGTTTTACTGTTTAATATTGCAGTTTCACCGCCTGCTGGATTTCCTGATCATCCACATAGAGGTACTTACACTATTATTTAGACTGTTTCAATATTATTTCTCAGATTGTTTTCCACATTTCATCAATCTCAGCGAATTTTTACGTTGTCTTATAGGTTTCGAGACTGTTACATACATGCTACAAGTAAGATATCTTAGAGCTAATTTTAGCTTAAGAGTTACTTATAAGCAATTTTATTCTATTGGAGAAGTTGAAATTTTGTCGTCTACGTCTAGGGGGCATTCACTCATCAAGATTTTGCGGGCCACAAGGGTACAATACAAACAGGTGATGTGCAGTGGATGACTGCAGGAAGGGGTATAATTCACTCGGAAATGCCTGCAGGAGAGGGTACTCAAAAAGGTTTGCAGTTATGGATAAATCTCTCATCCAAGGACAAAATGTAAGTTATCATAATTTCTCCTTTTCTTCTTTATCCTTTAACCATTCTCAGAGGCCAAAAGAGTTGTCACATAGGCTTCTTCTGACGACCTCTCGGTGCATGGTTGGTACGCTAAGATAAATAGGATTTAGACAGAATCAAGGAAGTTAGACAAACATTTGTTAGTTACGACAACATGCCATCAGGTCCTTCTTAAAACGAAATTATGTTTAGGGGCAAGATTATTTCTCCTGTCCAATCCAGTATTTCACACCAAACATGTTATGTGTGTATGTGTCCCCAGCACATGTAGGTAACACTAAAAAACATTCATTATGTTCATTCTACAGGATTGAACCTAGGTATCAAGAACTTCTGAATGAGGACATCCCAAAGGCAGAGAAAGACGGGGTCGAGGTCAAAATCATTGCAGGGGAATCAATGGGAGTTCACTCTCCAGTTTACACTCGAACTCCAACATTGTATCTCGATTTCACCCTAAAACCCAATGCTCAACATCATCAAAGCATCCCCGAATCTTGGAATGCTTTTGTTTACATAATTGAAGGTGAAGGGACCTTTGGTCTCCAGAAATCGGTGCCCATAAAGGCTCACCATGTCTTAGTTTTTGGTCCTGGCGAGGGTCTAAGTGTATGGAACAAATCTTCCAATCCATTGAGATTTGTTTTGGTAGGTGGGCAGCCACTGAATGAACCAGTGGTTCAGCATGGTCCTTTTGTGATGAACACACAAGCTGAAATCGACAAGACTATCGAAGACTATTATTACAGCAAGAATGGTTTCGAAATGGCAAGACACTGGAGATCTCAATGAGTGGCTAAACTCTAAAGCTCCAAAAGTCTATGCAGAAATAGGAGTTACAGTCTTTATCTATCAATCATGGAGGGCAAGAGCTTCCAGAAGCCTATATGTGCAACCACTGCTTATATGTCATTATCACTCAACTTATTTTGGTTGTCTTTACTTTCTCAATCCAAAAGATGATGTATTTTATTTCCTGATGTCTTGTCATGATTTTAAAATTGTATTCTTATAATTAATAAACTTTTCCTTTTAAGCTGATTTTTTTTTTTTTTTAGATGGCCTATCAACTTATGAGCAGTTGGGGTGGACTTTTAGGCTCTCCAAATATCCACTTTAAAGCATTAAATAACGAGGATAATTAGATTTGTGTTATTTTATTTGAATACACTTTTATGTGTTAAGATTAAATAAGATCATATTAAATTTACCTTATAAATATGATTAATTCGATCTAGTCCTTATCTCTTAGTCATACTTGTACTAAGAATATAAGAGCTTCCATTGATGATGATGATACTACTCTAAATTGCATAGAGGATGTAGGATATGTGGAGGATCCTACAGAAGATGACGTTGATGCGATATATACATCTTAAGGGTGAGTAGGGACGCTATTTTTGACAAAGAAGAGGCCTTCAATTTGAAGCAAAGGCGATCAGACTTATCTTTAAACAACTATACAAAGTTTCAGCATCTTTTTCTACGACACCATCAGGTCCAATCCAATGTACCAAACATGCAAAATATTATACACTGAACAATTTTCACCATTCTTAGATTACATTTAATTTCAAATGTTCTTTTGCAAGACAAGAATTACTCTCTAATATAAATATCAAAAAATGAAATGTCATTTTCAGCATCACCATAGAATCCTTCTATAACATATATAAAGTAACGATAAGAAATTCACTGGCTATTACACATTTGAAAATGAAATAGGACCCTTTCACCTGGAACAACAAGAGTACGATCCTTGATTCTGCTTAGATCCATCGCTGCCATCTTTGACGAGGGAAACCCTGTTCTCCGATAATTCTGCTTTGTAGGAATCGGAATTCAAGACCTTCCTGCTGACATTATTGTAAATCTCACGAATAACAACTTCAAAAGCCTTCTGAACATTTGTTGAATCCAATGCAGAAGTCTCCATAAAAAACAACCCTTCTGTTTCTGCGAGGCTTTTGCCTTCTTCAACTCTGACAGCCCTTATATTCTCCAAATCACATTTATTCCCCACAAGCATCCTTGCAACGGTGGAATCAGAATGAGCTGTATGAAAAGTACAATTTGGATCACACGTCATTAGACATTTAAAGAATGAAGTAATATAAGATAGGTATAAAAGATGTAAAACTGGAGCATAATGTGAAACCGTGCTCAAGAAGCATGTAAGACCAAACAAACATTGTACTAATAGCATAATGTAAGTTAAAGGTGCATCAATAAAATTTTCTGAGCCATCAGGCGATTATTCCTACCGTGCATTCCTTTTTTCATCAGTGAAATGTCATTTTTGTGAGCAAACTATGATTATCTGAGATATGCCATCGAAAAGGCTGGTAGATAGCAACTGTTTGAATATTCATTGGATAATCTCTTATATTATATGTTCGAGATAATAACCATAACTGATACTCATTTGATTCTCTCAGCTTGAGACACCTAAGCTCCCAGAAATCACAGAAACTAAGCTCTCATTTGGGCTCCATCAAAATTAGTTGTATTTTGGAATATTGATTATTTTGGAGAACGTGTGGTTAAAAAAAAAAAAGGAAAAATTTTGGGTTTACATGTAATATTATTTTATTGATGAATGTATGGTTGAAAATAAGAAAGAGAAGAATGCATTAAAAATAAAACTGGAGGCCAAATAAGGGCTAAATATGATCTTGAATCTTGAAGATTAACTAGATGGATAGAGAAAATTCAACCCATAAAACGCTCTAAATGATGGTCTCATCTTTTCAAGAATTAATAACACGGTGCATGAAATTCATCCTACAATATTGTTAATGCAGAAACCATTTAAAGTGTTGATAAGGAAAGATCCAATTCATGCTCCAAACTAATCCCTTCTACAACAAGTTTTTACAGCTTACAAAAGTAGAACTCCACTATGGACTGTGCTGTATCATATCCAAGGCTCCTAAATTGCAGGTTAATTTATTGGTCTAACTCTTCATGTTATTGGCATCACTTTGTGAATAAGAGTTTCTTTAGATATACGTAAGACATGCCCTAACCAGCCCTGTTAGAAACAAGCAGGTGTTCATTCATTTTCAGCTGGCCCAATTGCTGAAAAAGAGGTCTCCTCATGAATAGGTTACATGCTGGTACCACTAAAATGGTCCTACAATGAGTAGTTATATTACAAAAAATATATAATAATAGAATAAAATAAAATCATGAGCCAAACAGCCAACTATAGATTTAAAGTCGTACTAAACATTGAGAAAAGAAGTGAAAGACTTGGATTTAGATGTTGCAACGGACGAGTTTTTAATTGCTCACTTTTCAAGAATTACAGGAGCTTCATTTCATCCTCCTATCTATGCAATTCTCTGTCTTTGTTCGGGAAACAAAAAACTTAAAAGAGGAGTACTAATGTTACACAATTCCAAGCAAGTAGCAAGTGTCAATGTTTTTTTAATCTGGACTCACGATGTATAAAATTAAAACACATTACATTTCTTCCACATACACATGTATAAAGATATCAATATTCATTTTTACAAGTGACATCTTACACATTTCATAAGGTAAAACCCATGTCATGCAAATGTTACTACCATTTACTTGTTCACCTGATACTGTTTTATGTCAATAAGCTCTGGTAGGGATATTTTGTCATAAACATTACCTTAGTAGTCAAATCTTAAGCTTTTCTCTTTCAATGTGAAAGATTCAGCAATAAAATAGATCCACGTGCCTTTTCTCTCGTTGAGGTGAATGATCCTTCATTTTCATAGCCATATTTTTTATTATATTCTTCGTTCTTACTTATTTTAAAAGAGCATATATAAAGGTACTGCAGAATATAAACGGTTAACAAAATACCAACAAAAAAAAAAAAAAAAAAGGCTAAGTTGTTAATCTTTAAACAACCCTCCATTAAGAAAATGTAAATCTTTGCTTTCCAACACACAAATTACCAAACATGTTACCTTTTCCCCTTTACACAAATAGTAAAAACACAAATAACTTACTCAGATCTGTATAAGCTTTAACCAGCACAATAACCCATGTTTATCACATCACATACAATAAAGGGTAATAAATTCAGATCTGGCTTCATTTATTGTTGCCTATGGGTCCATCACACTAGCACTTACATTTTTATAAGAGTAATGCTATTTAGTCCCATCGGGGTTGCTACCCCAGTCTAAATAGCGTTAATGTGACATTAATTAATAGGTAAAATTAGTCTAAATAGCGTTAATGTGACATTAATTTAAAATTAAATGAGTCCTTTCATTTAACTAATTATCTAGTGCCACCTAGACTGAGGTTGCAACACAAAGGAGTTATATAGCATTATCTTTTTATAAATTTATATAATATAATTTAACACTTAAGGGGCCCGATTTCGCAAAAAGTATCTCCACAAGGTATATGCAATATACAACATATCTGCCACTTAATAAACCAGACAAAAATGTTTTCATTTCACCACCATACAACATAAAGTACAAGCCATTTAGCCAAAAGTACAAGATGAAAATTTATGCACATCTTGTACCCTGCTCCTCTGATGCAAGTCTTTCGATATTTTCTAAAAAGCAATAAATTCAACAATGTACAATTAGTGAAGCACGATGTGCAACTCCCCTAAATTCTCGTGCATATCTTTTCAATCACAAAATGGCAATCAAATGTAAACACAAAAAAATTGACAATCATGAAACTTCAGTCTTCATCTATTTCTGTTATATTGGCATTCAAAAATCGGTAACCTAAAAAATAGAGACGAAATTCAACATCTAAGGATAGACATACTCACTCTTGAGTTCATCAAGCCATCGAGGGATACTCTCAAATGTAGAGCTTCGACTAATATCGTAAACAATAAGAGCACCAAAGGCACCGCGGTAGTAAGCAGAAGTGACGGCCCTGAATCGCTCTTGGCCGGCGGTGTCCCAAATCTGAGCCTTAACTTCTTTGCCATCAATTTCGAGTGTTTGTGTTTGGAACTCAACTCCAATTGTGGCCTTTGAATGCAAGTTGAACTCGTTTCTGGCATAGCGAGATAGCAAATTTGACTTGCCAACAGCTGAATCTCCGATTATCACTATCTTGAACAAATACTCCTCACCCTCATCCTCCGATGAAGATCCCATTTCAACAGTCTCTTTCCCTCTCAGAGCTGGAAATGGCAGAGACAGAGTATCAAGACAGGGACGCGCAAGTGGTGGATGGATTTTGATAATAACGGCTGCAACTTTTTGGTGCATCACTGCATTAAATTCTAAACTTTTGCCAGTTACCAAAATAAGGTTAAAAAGTACTTTTTACAGTGAAAAGCACCAATTCGGAAAAATTGTCTTTCATTAGGATGAAAACAACCATTTCAAGTGATCAAGGGTGAAAGTTGAAGTGCAATTATCGTATTTTGAAGTCTGTCGATGAGAAAACTGTAATTTCATGTTAAATAAAATATAAGTGATAAATAAGTCGAAATTACGTCACATGTTAAAATCTTGATTTTTAGTTACACAAATGTCATCCTTTTTTCTGAGATTACAAATATGGCAATTTATGAAAATTTTGGACTAATTTACCCTTCTGCATAAATGTTTAACCTTACAGCTTTTGCATTAATTGTAGATTTGACTAGACAGAATTGTGTCAGGGAGGAGGTGTGAGGAGAAGAAAAACAAAGAAAAAAAAAGCAAGATGAAGGAAGAGAAAGCCAAACGTCGAAACGCCTCTCACCAAAATCACCGACCCTCTCTCTGCAATCGCCGACCTCACTCCCAGCCTTGGACGACGATCATCAATGTCGAAATCGCTCCCATTGTCAGTCGAATCGCCCGAAGCTGAGCACAACGTCGAAGGCTGACTTCTCCCTTGCGACTGCCAGAGAAACCGAAGAAAGGCAAAGGTAAATCCACCCATCTTCTGACTTCCCACTTTTTTCATAGGCATCTACCCATCCACCCATTTTTTGTATAGTGCATTTTGAGAACCGGGAAATTTTACAGTTTTACACTTTCGCAGTATGTAAAATGAGATGTAGGGTTTAACATGGCCGTCCATTGATTGTTTATTCTGAATGGTTATTTCTGATTTTTTGTTATTGAGTTTAACGCGTATGTTTTCCCCTCCCTATGAAGCATTGTGTTCGATATTTGTCGAATAGTGGGTGTGACTCTTTGTTGAATAGTGGGTGCGATACTTTATTGAACATATTTTTTGTTCTTATTGAAGCTAGATATATATTTTGTTATATGATAATATTAATGTTGAACAAATAATTGAACAAGGATTCCATAAAATTTTGTGATTTCTTAACGTGTGTTCATGTGTTCATGTGTGCAATAATGAGTTCAGTTGTATGGATGCATACTATAATAAGAAGCTATACTTTCTATATTGTGTAAGTGGAGAATTTGAAGTGGCGTTTGCAAAGGGGGTTTTGATGGATTCTTAATTTTCATTGAAGGAATAAAATGTTGCTTACTTTGGTTTACTTTGAAGTGATTGGTTTTGTTGAGTTTGAGGTGCGGTTTTGAGTTTGTCCAGCCCAGTCTTGTTTTATAACAATTTGAAAATTGTGTTTCGGTTTTGCTGTAATTTTATATTTATGACTTCTATGAGTTATGATTTATGTTCCCATTTAATTGGCAATTTGGCATTCAAATGAGAATTGTGAATCTGTGATTTCGGATACATAATTTATGTTGTTGAAGAAGGTGAAGCTCAAAGCCATATCGTTTATGTTTTCTTAATTATGTTGAAATTTTGAGTTCTGTAATGTTTCAATATTTTACTTTTTACTAAAATCAAGATTAGTTAGATGACCTATTCATCTTGTGTTTGATGAATTGATTTAAAATCATGTATTACCTGAGTTTTGTATTGTACATGAAATTATTTGGAGTCTGGCGACGTTTCGTGATTTGCTTCTAGTATTTGTGAATTGGGTTGGATGATGGAATGATATTAGTTTTGTGAAAAAGTGCTTGCATTCGTTTATATCTTTTTCTTTATTTTTTTGTTAGTTGCTTTATTTCTGAACAGTTTGTTTTGTGATGGCTATAAAATCCAGTATTCTATATATGAATGGATAGCTTTTGACGACCCACATAGTTATCTTAGAGAGATTTTACGTAATTGGAAGTGATTTAGCAATGATTTAGAATTTCAATGCCTTCCACTAAACTGTCGTTCCCGACAGTAGAGCTCAGGTTTTCTCGACAGTTAGGCCAACCTTCTTGCATGTCTGGACATCAACTGTCGGTATCGACAGATCTCGACAGATCATCTGTCGGTACCGACAGTTGTAGTCAGTTTTTCTCGACAGTTGAGTGTGTCCATGCATTAGTGTGTTTCATTAAACTGCTATTTATGATACAATAACTTTAAGTTTATCCAGTAACCCCATTGAGTTTTATGAATGCATCTTGCAGGACACAGGACTGATGGAGTTTGATTATTGTATTCCAGAGGAGGCAAGGTTGCGGGCCCACATTTCGCAGAGGAGCAATTTGAAGTATGTGAAGATAGTGATGGACCTTTTTGATGACCGACAGCGCGACGAGTTTCGAAACTCCCCCTTCGGGTATCTGGCCGAGGTTGCAGAGATTCAATTCTCTGCCCAGCTCATCCAGCAGCTTGTGTTCAGAACCATTCGCACTGACTAGGTTAACGAGCTTTAGTTCAATGTGCAAGGCAACATGATGAGATTCGGTCTACAGGAATACACCCTTGTGACGGGGTTAAGATGCGGTGTATTCCCGGAGGGTGATGAGTTCGATCGAGTGCTGGAGAGGAGAAGGCTGAAGGAGAGGTACTTCAAATCCATGGAGAAGATATCGTTGGCACAACTCTAAACTACTATTGCCCGACCTTCTACGATCCGAGCCGATCGCTACAAGCTAGGGCTCGTGCTAATAGTCGAAGGAGTTTTCAATGCCCCTGATAATAACGTCGGAATTGATTTGCGTACACTATCTATTGTCGACAACCTAGATATCTTTTTTGCCTACCTTTGGGGTAGAGTCGGCTATCGGCGTTTGCTGTACGAATTCCGGGGTTTTTGGGCAAAGAAATTCCTGAAGGCGAAGAGGAGGCAAGAGAAGGAGGTTACATACACTATTCATGGCTTTCCCGTTGCCATGCAGGTACACAAGTTTTTAATAGTAGCATATCATGCTTTATTTGTTTGCTGTCATGTAGCATCGTGCGTACCATCTCAGTTATTTTATTTCTGTTTGTCTTGATGGAACAGGTTTGGGCGTACGAGGCAGTTCCCGAGATTGGAGAACGTTTTGGTCAGAGAGTTGGGGAACGAATGCCACGATTGCTTAGGTGGTCCGCACGAAAACAACCACAGCATCGTACGTATGATGCATTCTTCAAGAACGTGCGGGTATGGATACCACATGTGTTACTTTTGTTATTCGCGTTTCGTGTCATTCCTGAAACTTTTCGTTTCTAATGTATAACCGTACATTGCAGTTGCATGTCTATGCCACACTTCGTCCCACCGATGCTGAGGCGGAACAGCAGTATTTCTCCACTCTCGTGCTGTACGATGATCCTCCGGTGCCTGTGCTGGATGAAATTGCCAGGAATGTTGTGGGGCCGTAGTTTAATGCATCACATGGAGGTAGTGGAAATGGCGGCCAGTTGGTGAGGCAGGAATTTGATGACGGAGTCTCCAGTGGAGGAAGTGGTGAGGATGAGACGTCTGGAGATGAATGTGTCGATACCGAGGAAAGTGGCGAGGGCGCCAGTGAGCGATCCAGCGTCGGTGCGGATACTTGTAGAGGGCAGACTGGTGCGTCTTCCACACCTCCAGCGATCCACGTTTCTTCTCCAGTGCGAGGGCCGACGATGGAGACACGGCCAGTTGGCACATCCGGATCAGGCCTCACCAAAGAGGAGGTGGAAGAGCTGTTGTTCGACCAAAGAATTCTCTTTGAAATGCGACTCCGCACCGTCAAGCTTGAAATCAAACAGCACGTGACATCCGAATGTAAAAAACTAGAGCTTTCTTTGCTACCCTCGTGGCCCCACCTGCTCCGACTCCCATTGCAGCCGCGATGCCCTCCGATACCGAGGCTGGAGTTTCAAGTAGTATTCCGCAAGGTATGAATGTTCAATACATAAACCGTTTGGTTTATATTTTTCATCTATGTTCGACAGTAGCACATGCACCTGTAGCTCACATTTTTTTCCATACGACAATTGTGAGTTAGAAATACATGGAGGAGAAATGGAGCCTTCCCTGGACGAGCGAGACATGCGAGCAGATACAGGAACTGCACATGTACAAGGTACGTGGGTTATTTATGAGCGCATTGAAATTTGTTATTTGACGGACTTTGTATGTTGTGGAAGTTGGGAAACCTAATGTATTCACACAATTTTCATGTTCTCATCAACAGATGGAGGAGACATCGCGGCTCGCCCGGACAATGTACACGACCCACTGCCCGTAGCAACCGACGAATAGATAGGTACGTTGTCATGTGCTACGATTTTTCCCTACTATATTCGATGGGAATTATTTTTCTCATTTTTTTTCTTCCTGTACGCTTCCATTATCTTCCAACTGCAAACGTCGAACACATATACAGTTACATATGTGTTGTAATATCAGATGGAGGAGCCATGGAGCCCTCACATGCAGCCCCGAGCAACGATGCTGACTTACAGGGTTGCGATGTTACGGATGGTGATGGTAAGTTCATTCTCTGCATCACTTATTGTATGTTACGTATGGTACGTGAAGGGCATTTATGGTCACTAACTCCCCCCTCCTTTGAAATTCTCATAGGCGATCTCGCTGAAGTCCCTGTTCCCACCAGTGTAGCCAAACCAGGACACGGAGTTCCTACGACGAGTCGGGGCTCGGCACGGGTACGACGTCCAGCTCCTGCGGCCAGGACTCCATATACAAGGGCGGTGAAGCGAACAAAGAAGTAAAAGGAGTATGAACTGTCGGGACATCATGACGGTGGTGTTGTAGTTAGTAATACCCTGTCAGCGATTTGGTGGAGGTGGTGACGGATGTTAACTTGTTGGATAAATAACTTTTGTTTGAATTCGTTTTACATTACATTTTAATTACTCTTGTGTACCGTGGTGATACGTGGACAGATTCCTCATATTTTATGTTGCTTGGCTGATCGGTAGTTGTAGTGTTTATGAATTGTGTCTGGTATTCTAACTTTGTTGATTGTATCAGTCATGTTCATTTTGTTGTTCGATATATATTTTTGTTGGACATATTGTGTGCGCTTATTTTCTTTTGAAGGAGGGGAACAAGCGTATGCAATATGTCAATTTTTCAAAATGCTTTGTAAGTACTGTTTTGTTGATATTCGATCC